ATCAAATCATTTGAATTAATCAATTGATTCCTTGTATCATCATCATTAACCTGACCTTCATTTTCATGTTTATCTTATTCAAAATTGATGTAATTTTATCAACATTTTGACTGACATTTCAATACAATCAACAATATTTAATAGTAATTAAAATCATTTTCATCTTTGATTGTCTTCAATTTATCAGTTAAAAATTAAATGTTTCTTTTCAAATCAATCTATCTGACAATTAATTGATTGGTAATATGATAAAATGATACAAATCAATGTTTACCATTAATGTATTAATGTATAAACTTTTGATCATTACAATTGTTACACTTACAAGTTTATAGTTAATTAAGTTATACAAAAAAATTATCATGAATTATGATTAATAATCAACAATCAATTACTTTTTAAACTGATGGTATTGCTGGTTGAAAAAGATGAGGTGAAAAAAATGTTTACCCAAAAATTAGTAAATTGTATTAATATTGTATTAATACAATTCTGATTCCAGGTAAATAACAATCAGATTATGATTGATTAATTTAATTGTTATTCACATATAACTTGATTATTAATACAAAATTTTGTTTATTGTTGTCATTGAATGAGGGAAAAAATCAATATGAATGAAAAATCAATGAATGAAATGTTAGTTTCATTGATTACAAACGTGTACAAATGAGTAAATTGTAATTTTTTTTTTCATTGTTAATTGTTCACTTGAAATTCATTATTTTTCCAGATCAAATTTAATATCAACACAATCAATTGATTGTGATAATAAAGTTAAATCTATGGAATAACTTTCAAGGGAGTTAACCTTGTAACAATCAACTAAACAAGTTCAATCACAATTAACTTGATCACTTTGTATCTTTTTACCTCCTCCTCCACCTCCCACTCCATATAATACTCACTCCTTAACATCTTCCACCACCACCACCTCATCATCATCATCATCTTCATCATTAATGATTCTCATAGGAAAAGATGAAGAAAAAAAATTAGATGATGAAAGTTCATCATCTCAAAAGGTGACGATTGATGGATTGATCTATCACGTTTTTCATCCTCATCTTCAATCTTACTATTTTACCTTTACTATTGTATCTTCATCATCATCATCATCATTTTTATCTTCATCATTCAATATGATCAATAATTTTTTTTATTTTCTACTTCAACTTAATCCATCAAAAGCTTAACTTTGCTACGATTTCCTATTCTTTTATTATTTGTCTTCACCTTCATTGTTATTTTGTTATTATTGTTATAACATCAACAACAATCATCAAGAAAAAGGTTTGAATTAACTTTGAAAACAGTTACAATTACAAGAATTGAAATTAAGATCAATAATAATAATGAAAATACCAAATAATCCATCACTTTAATTGCTTAATATACTTTGTAACATCATAATTAACTGATCACCAAGTGAATTCATCTTTATATTTATTGACCATTGGTCATGTAATCATTAGATTTAAAATTAACGGATAATTATTATTTTATAGATTTTCTCATATGATAATAATACTTAAGATACCATAGTTACTGATCATCTTTACCAATGATGTTGATCCGCATCCTTTTTTTATCACTATTATTGTTATTTTCATATTCATATAATGATCTTTATCCATGATGAAGTTTTCTTTTCTTTTTTATTGAAATATCTTCTCATCCATTGAATTCATTTGTGGAACCAATTTGATAGATTTTAAGCTTAACGACCTCATACAGATAGTGAATTGATAAGGAGGAGAGATGAACATGAGTTGTCATGGTAACCATGATGATGGAGATAAAGATGAGGATGAGGATGAGCAGATGAGTGGATGAGTAGATGAGTAGATTAGTTAGTCTTTATTTTCTTGTACTATCAGAGTCAAGATTTGATATGTTGTTGTTGTTGTTGTTGTATGAAAAGAAAATATTTTCTTCATCTTCTAATCAAAATGTTTATACATAAATATTATGATTAGATAATAACAATTGATGTTGATCAACAATCAACAATTATAATCTAATAACATTTCGCCTTGATCATGTTGGTGATTTAATCGAAACCAATTTTTCAGTTACTCTATGTTTCCACTTCATCATCACCCTCCCACTCTCCCACTTTTCCTCTCTCTCTCTCCCTCTATCATATATTGTCTTCAAGTCTTCATCAATCATCAATCCCACGTCCATCATCATCATCATCATCTTTAAAGTTAATATGAATCAATTGACTGATCACCAAGATGAAAGTTACTTATGATTAGCTTATTACTTAAACTCAATTTTTCAACTAACCAATAAAAGGATAATCTCATCATCATCGTCGGCTCAGAATGAGATCAAGATCAAGATGATTAAGATGCTGGATGATGATGATGATGATGATGGTCAGTTTATACACATATTGGTTATCATGATGATGACCGTTGATTAAGTTGATTGTGATGAACAATTTTTCAACAATCCATTAGTTTGCTGTTATCACTTTGATGTTATTATCTTTCAATGTAATCTGATAAAATAATTTCATTCCCAATCAACTAATCAAACTAATCAAAAGAATAACATTTTTCTTTTAACTATTAATGATAATGATTAAGAATTAACTTTGATTGTGTTGATGATTAGCTAATATTATTATTAACACATAGAGATTTACTTTAAATCAAACTTGAAAAGCTTAATTACTTTGGTTATTAATATGATTTTCTTGTTGGCCTCTTTTTTTCATTAGTTAATTGTTACCATTAACGATTAATTAATCACCATTAGTTATGAACAATTAAAAAAAATCATGATTCGTTACTTAATTATGGACAAAGTTAATTGATTAACAAGATGTGAGTCGTTTTATTTAATCAAATTTAACTTTCCATTTACAATCTAAATCAATAGTAAAGCTAATCATGATTATTATGGTTTTTAAAGTAAATTGTGATCAAAATTAACTCAATTAAAACTTAAACTGATCATCTGAATTTTAGATGATTACAACAATTAAAACATAATTAGCATATATTGAAAAATAATGAAACTAATCAACAAGAAAATCTTATCATTAAGAATTGATTAACAATCAGATGACAATTAAAAAACAGCAAACACAACAATAAGCTCATTGATTGTGACAATTTACTAACAATTAGCTAGAATCAGTTGATAACCTTGAAATATTAATTGAAATTATTATTACAATCAAATGAAAGAAATGATTAACTTTAAGAAACATGAGAAAATTAAACTTTAATCACAAAACCGAATCCTTATTCACAATTAAGAGGATGATGATGTTAATCACAATTAAATGATCATAGTATTCATATGAATGTAAGAAAACTATACTATTTTCCAACAATTTAATGGTAACAATTGAAAAGTTAATAAAAGATCATGTTAATTTAATGATGATTATGATGATAATTTAATATTCAAAAGCTTAATTGTGATCTAAATTGTAGAACGCCCATAATCATGATTAGTCCAACCTTTTAATGTTTTTTTTTCTCGTTGTTCGGTAAAAACTTTAATTCTAAACAATTAAGGTAACGATTGTAATAGTTGTAATGATTAAGGGGAAACATTATGATTAGCGGATTTTAATAGTAATAATAATAAAGACTCAATTGTTGTTGGTAAGATCATTAAATTAAATGTATTCTGCTTCCGTTGTAAATGCTGTTTACTTTGATTGTTGGCTTTAAATTGTTGCTTTTTTTTTCTTGATTAATCGTTTACTTGATTGTTGTTTAAAGTCCTCAAAGTGATGAGAGATAACAATCAAACATGATGTGAAATTTACACGAAATTTGATTGAAGAAAAGGCCAAAAAATTAATATTAAATTTGATGAACAAAATTACCAACAACAAATTAAATTGTTTCCTTTTTGATTGTTTTCTTTTTTCGCAATAACTATTTTATACTTTATTATACAACAATTTAGTTAATTTTAATTCACTTGAAAAATTATATCACGATTTAACTATTCTAACAATTAGATTTAATCAAATGATAAACATTTCAGTTGATAAATATGATCATTTAAATGATCACTTTTCTCTGATCATTTGAAACATTTTCAACAGATTATTGTCTTTAATTGTAAAAACAATTTTCAATCATTACTTAATCACAATTAACAATTTTCTCCTCGTATATTAATTCAACTGATTAATTACTTTTTCTCAATGGTTAATTGTTGATTAATTGTTTAAGGGAAAAAGTTTCGTCTATTAAATGATTAGATAACAGAGGTCGCTCATGTTGATCAAATTCACTTTTGTTATTTTTTGTTTACTCTCATTGATTAATTGATTAGTTGATTTTTAATTTGATTTTTTTGTTTCTTTTTTTTTTACAAACATTAAACAATAGAAACATCATCACATTAATTGTTCCCTTTACATGAGGAAGGTGAGTTTGCAGTTTTAATTAGTTAATTAATTATCTTCTCTAGTTGGAGATTTTCATTTTCCTACTAAAGGAAAATCCCATTGAAAGGTGAGGCTTTCAGCTGATTGTTTGCAATTATTAATCTCTGATTTTTGTTAATTTCTTGTTTTTCTCTCTCTCTCTCGTTGATTTAAAGGATTGGCCTGTAATTTGTGTTGATTAGTTTGATGTTAATTATCCCCAATCAACAGCTTCCTTGGTGTTATCATCTTCTTGATGGGTCAACAATGTGTATTTATGGTTAGCTCATGTTGGACAAAAGGCTTGACAACAACAACAACAACAACTACAAGTTTTGGTTATTTGATATTCATTTTGTATTTTTTTTTCTTGATTGTTATTGTCCTTTTATCGGTTGGTGTTGATTTTTTTTTTCTTCATCTCCATTGTGTTTATACATATGTATCCCTCCTCCTCTTTTGATGGTTAGTATAATGATGATAATTGTTGTGGTTTATATTGTGTTACAATTGATTAGTATCACGCTACACAAATGTATTATTATAATATGTTATATGTTGAGTGCGCAATTGATATTGGACAAGTTACAATCTATTATCATTTTTATTTTTTATTTTCTTCTATATATCAATATATATATATATATTTTGTTAATTGTTATATTCTTTTTTTGATATTTTATCGTCTAGGAGGCATACTTAAGTTTACCCTTTTCGCTGATTACACAAACATGGTTAAGATCTCGAAAATATTCATTGTAATCAAGATTAAATCCAACGACAAACTTATTGGGCAACTCAAAACCAGCATAATCGGGGATAAATGTATTAACTGGATTACGTTTGACAAAAAGTGAGGCGATCCTGAATTCAGCTACTTCCGATTCCTTTAATAGTTGAACAAGATGATGCATTGATAAACCAGTGTCGATAATATCTTCAACCACCAGAACCCGTTTACCTTTTAATGAACGAAGTGTCTCAAGGCCTATTGTGGTTACCGCTCCGGTTGTATTATCGTTAACATAACTTTTAAGTCGGATGAATTCAATGTCAATTCTTTGAGCAAAATTTCCAGCGTGTTGATGAACAGTTGATGAAGAAGATGATGATGATGATGATCCATTTGACAAGGAATCATTGGCTGAAGAAAATGGTGATGGTTTGATGGTTTCAGCGAACGATGTGAATCTATATAATTGTCTTAATTTGTCCAATAATTCACCGAAAAATTGATAACCACCTTTAAGAACACAAAGAACTGTGAAAGGTTCATATTTATGATCAGCGGCAATGTTACAGGCCAACATTTCAATACGATCATGAATCATTCCTCCAGGTATTAAGACACTTTCCAAATCTTCCTTGATACTATTTGAAACGCAGAAAAGTTCAATTGGATAACCTGGAAAATCATCAGGAATCACAATCATGGGACAATTTGAAGCAACGATACTGGACATGTTTATCTCTCTCACGTTGTGTTAATTGTTATGATTTTATCATGTAAAGTGAACACTATGATAGCGATACACAAACTGGTAAGTTTAAAGTAAAGTCGATGTAAAAAAAACACAAGGATACAGATCAGAAACTACTTTAAAAAGTGATTAGCAAAACAAGATGGCGATGGAAACTGCTGATTGGTAGAGAAATAAACCTTTTGGCTATTTCTTTATCTTTCTCTGTTTTTTTCTTCTCTCTGTTGTTTTTTTTTACTATCTTCTCATCTCTCCCTCATTTCCATTCTCTCTCTCTATTTACTTGCAGCTCACACAATTAACTAATCATTTGTGAATGAAAACATTATCAAGTCTCGACTGGCTGGTTTGATGGAATAAAACAAATTATTATGATGATGGAGAGAGAGAGAGAGAGAGAGAGGGAGAGATGATTATTACACCGATCCGAGTGCCTCTCAAGGTAATTCAATCATCGAATGAAAAAAAAAACTTTATTACCAAGCATATGAATGGATCACATGGTAACAAACCAAAGTCTATTTCCAATCAAAAATTGAATGGTGATTGGAAACTGATTGTTTAATTGGGGAAAAAACCACGTGGATAAATTGTTGACAAGGTGATTTCCATTGAACATGAATTGAGAATTTTTTTTTTGCTTAAATTGCAAAAAATAATCATCACCTTCAGGCTGAGGTGTTAATCCAAATGAAGGAATATCTTGATCTTATTGCTCTTAACACGTTGAGAAGTGTTTTGGTTTTTCAGGGTGAAATTTGGTAAATTTTGATTCTGTTAATTGTTGAGAATCTGATCTATTTGTTTTTTAATTTCTCTTTCTATATCTCTCTTGTTTAGATGTTTATTTGGATTAACGTGATAATGGTTGAAGATGATGGACCGACTTAAATGATTTGTTAATACGAAAGATCAACAAATTCTGATAAAATGGTTCAATTTAATCTAAATATTGACTTAATTGTGATTCTCATTCTCCCCCAGCCTGATTCCAAATGATACCAAGTTGGCAAATATTTGATTTAATTGTTGTTGATTTGTTTCGTCGACCAACAACTTAATCAAATATTTTACTCTCATCTATTACACTGTAACTTCCCATGAACAAGGTTAAATCAATTTGTAAATTGTAATTATTTCTTATTATCACCACAACCATTACCACCACCACTGTTTTTGATAATTAAGTTAATTGTTTTCCCTCTTTCTTTTATATTGTAGCTCTCTCTCTCTCTCTCTCTCTGGTGGTTTTGTCTTGATCTTAATTTTTGGTTTCGTCGTTGGATTAATTGTTTCAACACCATAATCATAATCATTACCAAACATCATCATCATCATCATCGTCATCATCATTATCATTCTGAAACCTGATAGCTGTGGTTAAAGGGAAACCAGTAATTACTTTAATGAACATTTAATTAGATGTATATAGTTTAGATATATGAATGGAAAAATATTATTCTTTTTCTTCAATTATATTCAAATTGTTGGAAAAAAGGGAAGAGGAGGAAATGGCATTTTCGTTTGATACTGTTGATCATGCAAGAGGAAACATATACATCTAATTAAAGTAATTACTGGTTTTCCAACCACCACAGATAATATCAGGTTCCTCAATGATTATGATTACGATTTAGTGTCATAGTTTTCTCACTCCAGAGTTTTGTCACTTTTTTTTTATTCTCTCTCCATGCCAACAATTAATTCATTTCCACCATTTAAATATTTAATTTTCTCGCCCAAACTTCATTCAAATTTTCAAACTTTCTCTCTATTCACATAATCTTTTTGGTTGAGAAAAAAGAAAATCTAATTCCCTTTTATTATTTCATTATTATTTGAAGGAAATTAATTGTTCACCTTTGTCTCTCGTTTACATTGAATTCTTATTTCCTTAAGTATAGTAATTAATTCTTGGTAATATAATTAATCTTGTAGCCAACAATTGAAAACTTTTTTGTACAATACGAATTGACGAAGATACAAAGTCGCCATCTATTGGATTCTTTGGTCGATTTTCTAGATGATCATTTTTTAATCATTTTCTTTGCAGTTAAATGTTGATTATCCTTTGAGATTGATGGTTTATGATGATGTTTTTTACTTGTTTGCTGTTTAATTGTTGAATCCAATGATATAATCTCTGGTTTATCCTTATTATTATTAACTTTATTTATTGGATGAGATGAAATCATCTGATGATAAAGTGTTGAAATGTAGTTCTGATAATTAGTTTGATGGTGATAATAATCAACATTAATAATGGATAATGATCTCTATGTTTATAATTTTCTCTCATTTTATAATTACCTGTTTATATTTAGCAAATCCCAATGTTAAAGATATAACGGTAAAAGCAAAAGCAATTAGAGCATAGATTGGCTTTGATTGGTCAACCCTTGAAATCGTATTGACAACACTTTGAATGACCAGTTCAACATCTTCATCTTTAACAGTACCAGAATATTCAAACCAAGCTAAAGGTAATAAACGAGCACATTTAATCTCATCTTTACCACTAGAAAATTGGAATAATGATTAATAATTTACCAATTTGAATCTAATTTCAAATTGAAAACTTACGTGAAAAATGTTTGCTTTCGTAGTTGAACATTGATCTGAAATCTTACACGACCTCTTAATGGTACTCCCAAATACTAGGATAAGGACAGAAAAAAAAAATGATCAATTGTATTGGTTAATTGTCAGTTCAATTGGTTAACAATTTGTTACCGGTTCAATATCAAGGAATGATTCATGAGCCTCTGGATCAGCTGATAATCCTTCAATATGCAACTGAGCCTCATTCAAAGGGGAATTGATAAAATGAGGCTGTGAAAGCCAAACTGGAGCTTCATGCATACATGAATGTAAATCAAGTACACCATCAACTGAACAATCAGGATTAAAATCATCCGATGAACTATTTTGATGATTGAAAAATGTCTCATTACAATAACATTGATTTTCTGGTGTAGTTTTACCAGAATTGAAAGTATCTTTTGAAAGTTTAAATCGATACAAATTGATTCCCTGCAGATCAACATCCTTTTCGTAAACAAAGATAAATTTCCTGAATGAAAAGTTTGGTAAACAAACAAAGAGGAAATGATTAAGAAACATGATGATGATGAAGGAATGACGATTGATTTCAATCATTTTGATCTTTTCTTACCTGCAAAGAGGCGGAACGAAAACCGTTAGAACTTGACCTCTCGTTACAAAAGGCGGGAAAAAAGTTCCATCGGTTCCTTTAACATGATTACACTCATCGCCGTACCAAATGTTCATAACTTGTGAATTTCTCCAAGAAACTATATTACCAATTAAGGGTCCACTTGAATAGATCTGATAAGGTCCCATGTAACTAACATTGAAAGTGTTAAATAGCCCGAAGGTATTATCCTTTAACCCCTTTACTTCAGGAAAAGGTCGACCTGAATAATATAATCTCCAAGCGCGTGCAAGTTGCCCTAATAGGTCAACACGTTTACCTTTGAACAACATTTGCTCAGCTGTAATTGGTTTGAATACTTTATCATCCAATAGATATAAATAAGCCTTAACTACATCAATTGTTATATCATCTCCAACGATAATATTACTCAAATAATCATTAATAACCTTTAATTATTGAAAAGAAAAGGGCAAGAATTAATTGTTGTTGTTGGGTAATATTATGATTAATTTTTAATTTACCAGTGTTGGAATATCAATTGTAGTGAAATTGTCAGTTAAATCGCTGGCTGATGATTCATAATCAAAGGTGTACTTTTTAAAATCAAGGTAAGTTAATGTTGGATTGTCTTCTAATTGTGAGCTATTGGCTAATTTACGTCCACTTTTGATTCTGATAATTTGGTGAGAGGAAAAAGGTTAACAATTAGTGAAAATTTACTGATGATCAATTGGTTGGTAATTTGTTTACTTAAATGAATATGGGCCCATCTCAATTAGCTTTAATTGTTCACAATCAGACAGAAATGATTCTGAATTGGTTACATTGAAAATATATGCATTTAATTTCATATCAGCTTCGGGTTTAAGCCAAGCATTGTAATATTCAGATTCATTGCTGGCTAAATTAATTTGACCTTTAATTGATTTAATTACAAAATCGTCAACCAGAAAATTGAAAATTAAAGCCACTGAACTAATTGATAAGGATAATATAAGTGATATGTAGGTTCGGGTGGCACAAAATGAGGCAAATTTAATGGCTGAAGTTGAGTCCATGGTGGTTAATCAGTTTCGATGAAATAATTGAAACAATTAACAATCTAATTGCCATATTGTTTGTTTTGAACTTAATTGTAATGATTATTTCATGAGAATCAATGAAGAAACAGAATTTGATTAATTAGAAAATAAAATTGACTTTGATTGGGATGGTTAATCATTAGGAGAGGATTAAATTAGAATCGCTGGTTAATTTTAATTAAATGCTTTTTCATGGATTCTATTGATTAATTATTGGGTTAATTTTAGAGCAATTGTCAAGTTAATTGTTGTTTTGATTGAATAATAAATTTCTTCACATTTGTTTCTGGTTCTTGTTTGCTATTTAATTGTTATCTAATTTGATTTAATTGACATGATCAACATTTATTTAACTGTTTATTTTAATTGTTTTCATGTTGTCAATCAAGATTTAATCATTGATTGTGTATCTGTGTATCTTGACAACAATTAACTGATAATTAAGAAGATAACTATTTTCAGTTCATTTTCAGTGTATTTCATAAATAACAATTTAAATTCTTGCAGTTAATTTGTATTAATTAGTATCTCTTTAATTGTCATCATGATGATCAAAATTTTTAAACAATTAAGAAGTTGATTGAATTTTAATCAACCAAAACCATTCCTGTAATTGAGTTGATAATTGTTTGGTTGTTTATCTGAATGGGATGATTGGTGATTAAATTGTTACCATGTAAATTAAACAATTGATTGTAACAATTAGCTGGTAAATTAAGCTTCAGGCAAAAATAATAAGATGATCATCTTGACCTAAATCACTTAGGCAACAATTTTGTCATCTGTGTTACAATTAATTATCATGACGTTATCACCTTTAATTGTTATAACATTTGATGATTATAACAATACAAAATGTTAATCATATTATCTAGAAGTTAATCATTAATTGATTGTTACTATTTATTATTATAATTACAAGAGATTCAGGAAAATGATTAGAAAGTGAAACTTTCACTATTTAAAGTGATCCAATAATCAGTTAATTGTTACCAGTTAAAGTTTAAATCTCACCAAGTTAATTTAACAACGACACCGACTCGTGAAATCAGATATTCAACAACAATTTAATTTCAATTAAACTAAATGAAGATGATTTCGTCAATCAATCAACTAATTGCTTTCACCTTTCTTTTAATTGCCATTGAAATGGTTTCAGGTCAACGTCCAAATCCCGGTGGTTGCCCAAAGGTTACTTCAGGATTGATGAGTTCAACATCATCCAAGTTTGACCTTTCAAAGGTGAGTGTTTAACTTGGTTAATTGTGATCAATTTTAATTGTTGATTAATTTGATTGTTTAGTACGTTGGAGTTTGGTATGAGCTTGAACGAACCGCTAATATCTTTGAGATGGGAATGAAATGTGTGACCGCTAATTACACCGCTAAATCAGACGGAACTGTCGCCGTAGTTAATAGGGGAATTTCAAAATGGTTAGTTAATCAATTAGAGTTAATTGTTAACAGTTAGTTTGTTTAACTTTTTCCCTCTCTTGATTCAAAAATAGGGGCCAAAAGATTAACCTTGAAGGTTCAGCTCGAGTTCCCGATTCATCAATCCCAAATAACCTACGAGTTACCTTTAAGTGTAAGTAATGGATGATATTAACAATTAAAGGATTTCATCTTTACTTGACCACAATTAACTTGATTATCTTGTTGATTTAGTTTCCCCTGAAGCCCCTTACTGGATCGCCGATACTGATTACAATAATTACGCTATTGTCATTTCATGTGCTGATGTTTTCGGTCTTGTCCGATTTGGTAAGAATTGTGAACCTTAATTGTTACCCAGTTGATTGTTGACAATTAATTGATAATTTTATAAATTTTTTTCCAATTTTCTTGCAGAATCAATCTGGGTATTGGGACGAACTACACAATTACCTGATTCAACAATCAGTTCAATTCACAGTCAAATTGAACGATTAGGTTTCAACCCATCAGCACTTAGCAAAGTTGATCAATCATGTCCCAAGTAAATCAACAATCAAATCAATCACGATATTGATAATTGAATTTTACCATTTTTCTGAAACATAGATCAATCCAACAATGTAATCCTATTGAAGATAATCAATAAACCACTTTCATCTAACTGAATTCATTCAATCTCATTTCTTAACATGAAACAATCTTTGATTATAATAAACTAATTGGGTGAATTGAGATGATTAAATAACTCTTTTGATTGGGTGAATTGATAAAGAAATTGTTTCAATAATTGTAATGATGATGAATTAGACAATGACTTAATTATCTAATCTTTACAAATAGACAGTAAAAACTTGATATCCATTGGAGTTTTTTATTTTTCAATCATACAAGATGATTAACTTTTTTATTATGCGATTTAATTAGAAACATGAACAAGAATAGATTTAATTTCTTAGTCTTTCCAGCAAGCGTTTGGAGCCATACTCTTGATGATGTCTTTGTAGTAAAGGGTTCGAGTGTAAAGACCAGCGGTATCGGTACTTTCACCACATTCAGTCCATGAACCAGAAACGACACCCATGAGGTAGTGTAAACCGTTGTTACCCTTGTGCATAAGTGGTCCACCGGAGTCACCTGAACAAGCGTCTCCCATGGTTTGCTTGTTGATGGCGCACATGTGAGTCTCAACGACTTCGGGGATTCGAACTCGTCCCTTCATTGATAAAGGTAAACCATTTTCTTTCAACAAGTAGTCGGTCTTAATGTCGTTACATTGGTCTCCTAATTGTGTAAAGATAAATATGTCAGATTTCATTCAATGTCAATTATTAACTAACTCGACTTACGGGTCAAGAATGAAACATCGACTTCTAAGAGAGTATCACTTGAGTCAGAGTTAGCGGAAGTGGTTCCCCATCCGGAGACGGTGAGTTTGGATAAACCAGATTCGCTCTTTGGTAAACAGACTGGAGAAATTTGTTGAGTGAATTTAACAGGCTTTGAGAGGGTCAAGATGGCGAAATCGTTGGAAAGATCTTGTCGGTTGTAGTTAGGGTCAACCCAAATTTTTGAGACTGAACTGGCTTGAGAGTATTCAGAGAAAGCCTTGACTTTTCCGAGGAAAACATCAACATTGGAAGCAGCGAAAGTTGAACCATCATCGTCGACAACACAATGAGCGGCAGTGGCGATGTGTTGTTCATCGATCAAAGAACCACCACATTGAGCGAATGATCCAGAGTTTCGACTAGTGTATGATCTAAAAAACGATTGAGATACGATTAGCGAAAAGAAAAAAGAATCTCATAAACAAAACTTACCGAATGTGAGCTAACCAAGGGTATTTGTGGGCTCGAACTTTACTTCCTTTGTAGATTCGACCAGCTGAACCTTCCATACCACACTCTGTCCATGAAAGAGAACAGTAAAATTAGTTTCGAAGTAATTTAGTCGATTATCAAACAATATTCACTTACCGCAAGCGAGTGAGAAGTTAACAGCGGCGACGAGGAAAACACAGGCTAAGAGAAAGACTCTCATGATTACGATAGAATTGAATTAACCAGAAGAAATAAACTTATTCTAATTAATGAATGATTCTGATTACGCTAATGATCAACGTTTTATACTCGATATTTTTTGCAGCCACGTCCGTCAAATATGTTCATCTAAATTTGATTGACAATTAGCATCAATCGCTCTGACTATTTGTTTTTCCATCCTTTTCCATGGCTTTCCTGGTGATTATTTCATTGATTGTTTAATAACAATAACAACTTGACTTGATTGACACCAACCAGTTGCTCAACCTTTTGTCGATTTAATAAACGGAAGCTAATTAAGATCTCAATGCTAATGATTGTTTTAATCTACGTTATTATCTTAATATCACATTACGAAAATGAATTTATGATTGTTATAACGCAGATAAACAATCAATCTACCAACGAGTTTGATGAATTTTCAAGCTGTAATTTGTTATGGGAAAAACTAGAACTGAGCGCAATTTTTTACTTCATTAAATAGAAATCAAATTTTGATTAGTCTGTCAATAGATATTAAGTATTATTATTATTATCTGAATGAAAGATACTTAATTTGCACCAATTTGAACAACTGTTCAAATTGACTTTTAATTTCGATTATTAATCAATTACGATGATGCTTATTATCATTGATGAAAATGCCAAAGGTTGAGATTGATTGAAAAATATCAAAAAACTGTTAATTGTGCGTAAATTAGGTATTGCGATTTGTTGGTTATTTATAGCTGGAAGTCCTCCGGGCCATTTATGAGATTTACATTTGATACCAAACTTCATTCAAAACAGCACTAAAACAAACAATATCAATGTTAATATTAATGAATTGATTGACGATTCCCATGTAAAACTGTGGAAATTAACAAAGTAAGAGGGATTAAGCTAAAGATTGAAAATCAATTGATTAAATAAGATTTATTGTGAAGATGAGAATCCACCACAACTTGATGTCTATTGGATTTTTTTATTTTTTAATCATACAAGATGATTAACTTTTTTATTCTGCAATTTAATTAGAAACATGAACAAGAATAGATTTAATTTCTTAGTCTTTCCAGCAAGCGTTTGGAGCCATACTCTTGATGATGTCTTTGTAGTAAAGGGTTCGAGTGTAAAGACCAGCGGTATCGGTACTTTCACCACACTCAGTCCATGAACCAGAAACGACTCCCATCAGGTAGTGTAAACCATTAGAAGCCTTCTTCATTAGTGGTCCACCAGAGTCACCTGAACAAGCGTCTCCCATGGTTTGTTGGTTGATGGCGCACATGTGAGTCTCAACGACTTCGGGGATTCGAACTCGTCCCTTCATTGATAAAGGTAAACCATTTTGTTTAAACAAGTAGTTGGTCTTAATGTCGTTACATTGGTCTCTAATTGTGTAAAGATAAATGTAAAATTTCATTCAATGAAAATTATTAACTAACTAGCGACTTACGGGTCAAGAATGAAACATCGACTTCTAAGAGATCACTTGAGTCAGAGTTAGCGGAAGTGGTTCCCCATCCGACGGTGAGTTTGGATAAACCAGATTCGCTCTTTGGTAAACAGACTGGAGAAATTTGTTGAGTGAATTTAACAGGCTTTGAGAGGGTCAAGATGGCGAAATCGTTGGAAAGATCCTTTCGACTGTAGTTAGGATCAACCCAGATTTCTGAGACTGAGCTGGCTTAAGAGTATTCAGAGAAAGCCTTGACTTTTCCAAGGAAAACATCGATATTGGAGACATCGAAAGTTGAACCATCATCGTCGACAACACAGTGAGCAGCGGTGGCGATGTGTTGTTCATCGATCAAAGAACCACCACATTGAGCGAATGATCCAGCGTTTCGGCTGACGTACGATCTAAAAGAGTATGATTGAGATACGATTAGCGAAAAGAGAAAAGAATCTCATAAACAAAACTTACCGAATGTGAGCTAACCATGGATATTTGTGGGCTCGAACTTTACTTCCTTTGTAGATTCGACCAGCTGAACCTTCCATACCACACTCTGTCCATGAAAGAAAAGAGTAAAATTACTTTCGAGATATTTTCGATGAATATCGAACAATGTTCACTTACCGCAAGCGAGGGAGAAGTTAACAGCAGCGACGAGGAAAACACAGGCTAAGAGAAAGACTCTCATGATTACGATAGAATTGAATTAACCAGAAGAAATAAACTTATTCTAATTAATGAATGATTCTGATTACGCTAATGATCAACGTTTTATACTCGATATTTTTTGCAGCCACGTCCGTCAAATATGTTCATCTAAATTTGATTGACAATTAGCATCAATCGCTCTGACTATTTGTTTTTATTTTTACAATAACTGTTCAAATCATTCTCTAATAGAAAATACGATTACGTGTAGTCATTGAAGATCAATCTCAAGCCTTCCCATTTTCTTCAATGATAATTATATTGATAATCAAATCATTTATGACTAGATCACAATTAACTTTCACCCATTTAGACAACTGTTCACATTGTCTTTTCATTCGTCCTTATATGACTTATAACCGCCATCTTGCTTTTAAACAATGAAATGATGATAATTATCATAAAAGTAATTTTACTTTCTCTTTCTCTTCCTCTTCATGGACAGAGTGTGGTATGGAAGGTTCAGCTGGTCGAATCTACAAAGGAAGTAAAGTTCGAGCCCACAAATATCCATGGTTAGCTCACATTCGGTAAGTTTTGTTTATGAGATTCTTTTCTCTTCGCTAATCGTATCTCAATCATACTCTTTAGATCGTACGTCAGCCGAAACGCTGGATCATTCGCTCAATGTGGTTCTTTGATCGATGAACACATCGCCACCGCTGCTCACTGTGTTGTCGACGATGATGGTTCAACTTTCGATGTCTCCAATATCGATGTTTTCCTTGGAAAAGTCAAGGCTTTCTCTGAATACTCTTAAGCCAGCTCAGTCTCAGAAATCTGGGTTGATCCTAACTACAGTCGAAAGGATCTTTCCAACGATTTCGCCATCTTGACCCTCTCAAAGCCTGTTAAATTCACTCAACAAATTTCTCCAGTCTGTTTACCAAAGAGCGAATCTGGTTTATCCAAACTCACCGTCTCCGGATGGGGAACCACTTCCGCTAACTCTGACTCAAGTGATACTCTCTTAGAAGTCGATGTTTCATTCTTGACCCGTAAGTCGCTAGTTAGTTAATAATTTTCATTGAATGAAATTTTACATTTATCTTTACACAATTAGGAGACCAATGTAACGACATTAAGACCAACTACTTGTTTAAACAAAATGGTTTACCTTTATCAATGAAGGGACGAGTTCGAATCCCCGAAGTCGTTGAGACTCACATGCGCCATCAACCAACAAACCATGGGAGACGCTTGTTCAGGTGACTCTGGTGGACCACTAATGAAGAAGGCTTCTAATGGTTTACACTACCTGATGGGAGTCGTTTCTGGTTCATGGACTGAGTGTGAAAGTACCGATACCGCTGGTCTTTACACTGAACCCTTTACTACAAAGACATCATCAAGAGTATGGCTCCAAACGCTTGCTGGAAAGACTAAGAAATTAAATCTATTCTTGTTCATGTTTCTAATTAAATTGCAGAATAAAAAAGTTAATCATCTTGTATGATTAAAAAACAAAATTTTTT